AGTAAGAAGAAAAGATTATTTATAAAAAAAAAATGTCAAAAAGATAAATATTAAAAGGAAATAGTGCTTATCCCCTTATCTCCTAAAGATTAGAAAGAATATTATTCTAAAGGATAATGATACATGCACACTCCCACACTACACATTCCGTTACACCCTTCAATTTCTGTTATTTTACCGTTAATTACACTTAACTCCATTATCATCTCTTCAGTCATCTCCCAACTCACCTAACCCTTTTCGTCCTCATCAGATCCGTCTTCCTCCTCACCTCCATCCTTATCCTAATTATCTGCAAAACAATTGCCAGCCTCTCCCAAGTTCCAACCTTCTTCCTTTTTTTTTTTTTTCTTTTTTTTTTTTTTTCTGGAGAACCCAACTTGGGTTCTTCTCGAAGAACCCAGATCGGGTTCTTGGTGGGTTCTCCAAGAACCTAGACTGGGCTCTCCTGGAGAACCCAAGTCTGGGTTCTCTCCGAGAACCCAAGAGAAAAAAAAAGAAAAAAAAAAAGAAAAAGGAAGAACGTGGGAACACTGTGAGAGTGAAATTGAGACTAACGAAGTGTGAGACTAACGGAGTGTGAGAGTTAACGGGAAAAAAAGTGTGTAATGGGAGTGTGGTACGAATAAGTGTATGCCAATCATGATCCTATTCCAAAACTACGTTATTTTAATAAACATTTATTGAAAAAGATTAAAATATCTTATTTTTAAAGTATGAATTAAAATATTTTTTATCATTCTTCTTTTTAATTTTTTGAAAATAAGACGAATAAACATTAACCTTATATTAAAAATTATTAATTTTATTTTTTATTTATTATAGAATAGAGGTGTGAATTTTTTTTAAGAGGGCAAATTTTTTTCCCATGCCAAACACGCCCTTAGGATTATGATTTTCCTGAAAAGGAAGACATACACTTCAACTGACGAAAAAAAAAAATAAAGAAGGAAGACTTACACCTCAACTTGTAGTTTTGTCAAAGTAGTAACATTCCTATGTTTACTACCTTTCGATGTATAAAAAAACCTTCTTATGTTTGGTGATCTTGTTGGGTGGTGGATTTAGCACGTAGTGGAAGTTATAGTCTTATAGAACATAAAAACTGATGAGGAAAACCCACCAACCAATACTAACCAAGTAAAAGTTCTCATCCAAATGTTGAATTTAACTCTCTAAAATTGAGGAGATATATACTTTTGGTTTTGTTTTAGTAAGTGAGAATAGGGACAAATATGTCAACTTAATTTCTCATTTTGTTCACAATTTTAAGGAATATAAATATCAAAATATTCGCAATTGGAGAAGGTGAAGGCGAAACTTTTTCCAAATAACCTTATATTATTTTGAGTAATAATAGAGAGTAAGACGAGAATTTGAGACAAAAATTTGGGATTAATAATGTCATGTTATTAAATTAGTTAATATATATAATATTATAAATTTTAAAAAATAAAGAAAAATTAATTTATTTTTTAATATTTTAAATAATTTAACTTAAATTACATTCTTAGTATTAAATTTGATGTCAAACTTTCATCTTATTTATTATTATTCTATTTTTTTACTAGTTCTTCCATCACCACACAAAGGCCAAACCCCAAATCTACTCCTAAATACATTGATTGAGATAGATCTGTCATTTAAAAAAGTTAAAAATAAATTATTTTT